AGAAATATATAAACCAAGCAAATATAGCCTTCATGAAACATTAGGGGGGTGGTTTGGCCCCTACGTGAAGAGTTTAGAAATGGAGGTAACGATGCTCACAGTAAAAAGGAATTCAGCAACGCCGTAAAGTTCTACACGGAAGGAATTAAAGTGAACTGCAGGGAAGGGATGACGAATTGAAGGCCAAACTGTTCAACAACAGATCGACGGCTTATTTTTATTTAAGTAAGATTCTGCTTTTCTAGCGTTGCTATATTACTTACAACTTAAACAAAACTATATGAAGTGTTAAACCGTCGTCAAACTAGTGATGTCATTTTGATAAATTTTCTCAGTTAAATCACGATACAACGTGATCACGCGTATACCATTTATTTTCTTTATGCGTAAAAAGTGGGGTCACCATGCTAGTTAATGAGAAACCGACTATTTAATTCCCAGTCGACCTTAGCCTGAAGGAAATACCACAGAAACGGGAGAAATTAGGCACAGTAAGGATGCCCAATGCGGCAATTCAGTGGAATCTACATAATCCCTTTAATTTGTCTGTTCGACTATATCAGGAAATAGGCTCCTCATTTACAATGGTTGTCATTTTTCTCAGAAGAAGTGAAGCCTTGGAGCCGACTGGCTCATAGCTGCCGGAGGTTATCCCGGTTTCTGTAGCATGAAGCGGCTAGGCGTATTTCTACTCCCCCTGGACGGGATGCTGGTCCATCGCAGGTCACTCCCCCGCAATTTGTTAAGCTTCCCCAACAATTCGCTGGTACCCATTTATACTCCTGGGTGGAGAGAGACACTGTGAGAGGCACTGGGAGGTGCGGTGGCCTCATGGTTAGTGCGCTCGTCCCCGGTGCGAGCGTTCCGAGTTCTAGCCCTGGCCGGGGACACTGTGTTGTGTTCTTGGGCATTTTTCTCAGAGGGTTCTGTTTTTCATCATGGCTCCTAACTTTCTGTTTTATCTCTACCGGTATTTGTCAGGAAATTTTCGTGAATCTCTGAATGACGCAGAAGCTGCCGTTAAGTTGCAGCCAACTTTCATCAAAGCCATAACGAGAGGTAAGGCTTGTTACTTTACGAAACTTAACTTTACCTACAATGATATATCTGGCCAGGAGCCATAATCGGGGACGGAGACCGTAAGTATTGGGATCCGCGCGCCCCTATGATATGGGACAATTTTTCTATTTTTAGAACAAATTGCGCCACCATGACGACATATATCCGCGCGG